GTTAAAAATTATTTTTTTATTTTGTACAAACAAAATAAATATATTGAAAAATATAAAAACAATAAAAAATTATACTTCAGATGTTAATTTAACATCAAAAAATAAAATATTTGAGTAGTCCAAGACATAGCCAAAGATTGAAGCGCCACAGCACTGGCGAAAATTTAAATTTGCCAACTGGAATTCTTTCAGATAATTGACGTTTCGGATGATTGACTTTCGGAAAATCGACGCTCTACTGTAATTGTATATAAAATGGGCTTGAGTAGATTTGGCCAAATGTTACATAATGGAAAGGGGAAATGCAGAGACTTTAATAAGTCAGGGAATGTCATTATCACAGATAGAATTACCTGTACAGACTCTGAAGTTAGTACAATTTCTATCTTAAAATATTTTTGCAGAAGTATCTGTTCCACATGACTTATTGTAGAATTTATCATTTTTTTAAAAAATTTTTAATAATGCCATTTGTTGTAAGATTATTATTAATATATCAATGACTGTAGTCATTTGATTGAAATTTTTTAAATATATAATTTTGATTTAATTTTATATTTCAGGCTTTGACATTGCAATTGAACATCCACATACGTATGTTGTAAAGTGCTGTCAGTTAGTTAGAGGTAAGAACAGTAACACAATTACTTTTTTCTAGTTTTAATTCCATAATTATATATTTAAATTAGATTTTTAATTAATACATGTAATGGCTTACTGTATTTTATGATTAACATTCTACTTTCACAGTAAAATAAAACAGTTGTTTAAGAATAATAAATTTTTGATTTATTATTATTATTTATTAATTTGATTAAATTGAAAAAAGATTATATTTGGATAATTTTACTGTGTCATTCTAAACATTAAACAATTTAATGTTTTAAAAATTAGCATTAGCTTTATTTAATGAAGTTTTATTTATATGTATAATTTGTGCAAATTATTAATTTATTAGACTATAATCAATTTGCATTAATATGAATTGCTAGGGAAACAGTAGTTAGTTCACTTCATTGAAAATTCATATTAATGATTTCCAGGGTGGGGTCAAGATTGTATAATTTACATCATTGAGGATTAATAGGCAATTGAAATCTCCAAATTATAATATTTTGAAATTTACTAAATAAAGTTAAATAAATTAAATTTATTTAAAAAAATAAATTAATGATCTAAATGATTTTCAAATCAAACATGAGGAGGAAGTATTTGTCGTTAAGGTGTGGATCAAAATGGATAAACAAACCAAAGCTAAAAGAAAACCGTGTCTCTTTTTTGTTGAAGATTGTTTGAAAAAGTAAAAATTTTTCAGCACCAAAAGAGTAAAAAAGTATCCAAATTTGGCAAAAGTAGCCACATCTGACATTATTGTATGCAAACTAGTACATGTTTGCATGGGACCACATCTGTTCAGAGGGATATCCTTGAACTGTAACCCTATTTTCTGAGTACAGTAGAATTGTCTGCTAAAACCAGATATTTAATTTTCTCTATAATTGGAGGTCAAATCCATTTTTTCTTACTAAAAGAAAATTATTCTACTCAAAATAGAAAATTTATTACTTTGCTTTTTACACTTTTTGATGCAAATAATAAAGTCATTATCAGAAATAGTTATTTCTTGGATGATGTGAAGGTAATTTACCGGTCACTTTAATGAATTCTGGTAAAATTTTTGTTTGCTTTCTTGTATGAAAATTAACATTGTGACAGTGTGTTTTGCCAGGGCAATGGCAAAATTCACTTTAACATGAGAATTTGCTTTATGATGATTGTTTTAAGGCAAGTTGACTGTATCAGTTTTGAAATAAAAAGTAAATTCTTGAGAAATAATGAGGGAAAAATTTAACAGTTCAAAATAGTGTTAGATTTAATTGGCTAACAGATAACTATAAAGTCATCTAATGATTAAAATATTCTTAAATCTTAAAAGTATTGAAAAACTGCTGTGAATAAAAAAGTAGACTAGTTGCTTCAAAGAATTATTTTTGATTGTATGAGAAAATCTTATAGATATATTAATCAAAGATTGATAAATATTTACAATGAAAATAGCTAGTTCAAAATTATGTAAAGAAAAATGGATTAGAGGGTCACAGTAGTTGAATGACATAGTTATAAATGAACTTTTGATCAGAAGCTTGAATTTTGTTTTTATCTTAACTGAATGAGGAATGAATTTAAGCATTGAATATAATTAACTAATGTGAAAGAATTATAACAGAACTCAGCATTACATTCAAGAACAGTTTTGCAAAATAGAGTGAAGGAACTCAAGGTTCTATTTGTTTAAATTTAATTATTTTATAAAAATCTATAGTGATTTGTGATATCTGAGAATATTTAGTATGTTTAAAAAGATAAGTGAGCTTTTGATTTAAAAACATGTAGTTTTAAAATTAGTCTTTTAACAAAAAGAGTACAATAGGAAAATTTTAACAAAAAGTTAAATTTAAAAATTTTCAAATGAACTGCTTTTTCTCCTGTCAATCATGTTATTTCAATATATTCTAAAAATAGACTGTATAAAAAGAGGGCTAGGTGTAATGTTTAAATTATGAATAGAGTATATTTGAAAAGTAATTTGTGATTACTTTTTAAATAGCCTCTTAAATTTGTGATCAAATAAGGACATAATATTGATGTGATAAACACTCCAATTTATTACAACCCTGTATTAGGCTAAATAATTCAATCTGAACTAAAATAAGGACATGATAACTAGCAAAATATCATGTTTTTATTTCAGATAAAATCAAATCTCAATAGTACCAATTTTTAATAATAATTCATAATTAGAAATTAGAATAAAATATATTTAACAAGTGAGAGAAAATGTTCTTAAATTTGAATTTTAGCTTTTTGTATAAAATTTAGTTCAGTGATTATATTAGAAATAGAATTGAAATATTTTGCTTATAAATAGTACTTGAATAAATGCAAATAGTAATTCTGTTTTCACTACCAATTTCTATAAATAACTTTGCAAATTATCAGTTACAAGAGAAACTTCAAAAAGTAGGAAGAAAAAAATGTGTTTTGATTAAAGAAGCCATTACAAAAATTAAAACCTGTGCAAGTTTATCTTCTCATTATGATCTATTCATATTGAAATAATAATTTAAAATAAAAGTCTCTGAAATATTATTAGATGAGGATGTCAAAATAAAGAGAAACAGAAAAGTTGTATTTATAAAACTTCTCAAAAATTAGTTTTTAATAGNATTATTATTAATAATAATAATAATAAGAATAATATAAATGTGAAAGTAAACAGCACGTCTGGTGAGAATCTACAGGTTGCCAGATAGATTTTATAAAAAGTAAAGCAGAATTCCACAAAATGTAGCCCAAGTTACATTTTTAAAGTGGATCAAAAATAGTAAGTCATTCAAATGTAGTAGCCTAGAGCCCTACAAATAACTCAATCTGCTACTTGCAGCCCAATCTTGCAATCCTGAAGACCAGCTGTATTTTATAAGAAAAGAAAAAAAAGGGTACTCCATAAGTAAAGTGATAGCTGAAAATGTGTTACTGTAAAAGCAGAGCCATATTAACCAGATTAGAGTTGTTCTTCGTCTATTGTTCTCTTAGTATGGAGGTACTTCGATTTAAATGAATGAATTAATATACACATACACACATCACAGTTTGAACAGAATTTTCACTTCTAACTATTGAATTCCTTCACATGTAAATCTCTATACCCCAGCTAGGACAAAAGTACAATTACAAATTAATGGGATTTTGAACTATCCAAGTTCAAACTAAGGATTTCCTGTACTAGCTAATATTATTATGACAACACTGCAGGAGTAAGTGTATATTATAATCATGTTAATTTTAGATTTAATCTGGAAGATGACAATACAAAATTTAACATGTACAGTACTTTAATGCTTTGTGCAGTGGTTATTTATATTTGTATTTTTATAAGTTTAATTGTATTTAATTTTGTAATTATCTTGTAATTCATTTTCATATAAAACAGCGCTGTCCAACTTATCATAGTCCGCGGGCCATATTTTCTTCACCAAACATTTCGGGGGCCAAGAAGGTTGATAAACCACACGACATTTGCATAGTGCTACGGTTCAGTAAGCACTAATTGGTCAGCGAGTCCGATGTTGACCCTATAAAAAGGCGACAGTTCGACACACCGGATATACGTCACTCTCGTCTAAGTTCGACTTGGGAATTTTTTTGTTCAATAATAAATGTGAATTCTTCTTCCTGGAAAAAATAAGACATTCCCTGAAAATAAGACCTAGCGCATTTTTCAGAGCAAAAATTAATATAAGACACTCTTATTTTTGGGGAAACACGGTAGTAAAATAATTTTAATATTAATAATAATAATTTAGTAACATAAATTTATTCATAGTAAAATGTACTCGCGGGCCGTAAAAATTATTTGGCGGGCCGCCAGTTGGACAGCGCTGATATAAAATCATTGATATGATTTTATTACAGATTATTTTTCATTAGTCTTTCTAACATTGATTAATATTAATGTTGACTAATGTTACTAATTTTATTAATTTTTTTTTTTTTAAGATGTAAAAGATTGGAAATATTTGTGATACAGTCTCATTTATTTATGAGAGTTCATTTAACATATACTATTATTTAAATTAGTTTTAAAAATTATATAGCCTAAAACTGTATAGAAATTTTCTTAACATATTCTAAAGTACACAACTATGTATTAACACTGCAATTGTATATATGCATCGTTTTTATGTATTCCATTCATTTTCAAAGTTTCATCGAAATGTAAGTATGATTTAATTATTTCCTAACATATAAAATGCATGTACAGTTTAACATTTTTTTATCCTTAATAAAACACTTTTAGTTTGAATATTCTTTTAAAATAATAACAACTTATAAAGTCAGGTTTTATACTATTTATTTGCAAGAAAATATAAATTTTATTCTGTATGAATTGGCTTTTTGATAATATGCATGTTATTTTAAATTTTAGGCAATAGCAACATGTGCCCTATTTTTGGCTGCCAAAGTTGAAGAACAACCTCGTAAACTAGAACATGTTATCAGAATTGCACATCTTTGTCTACATCGTGACACTCCCCCAATGGATCCAAAGAGTGAGGTAAGTTAATTTTTTAAAATACTCAATAAATGTTAATAAAATACCATTTTATTAATATTTATCATTTTGAATCCATAAAAAATTAAATATTTAAAATATAAGAGTTCTATAATTAGGCATCAAGTAATGTGGAATGCTTGGTACTCTGGCTTGCTCAGGTTTCATCAAGGCTCTGATAAAGGATTGGGGTTATGTATGGTTATGTATAAATAACAAGACAATACTAGTAATATTCAACAAATAATATACTTTAGTAAATAATAATAATAAAAACACATTTTTGACAATTTAAAAATTGAAAATATTTGTTTATTATTATTTAGTAAAGTATGTTATTTGTTGGATATTACTGGTATTGTTTCATTATTTATACTTAATTAAATTTAGTTTTTCAAGTATTGCATAGTTATTGTTAGGGTTGTGTGACTGTGTGTATGCTTGTCATGAAGACAATCTGATTCAGAAATATGTCCAACATATATTGTACAAATGATTCAGTACAAAACATTCTGAAGGTCCAATGTTACCAATAAAGCAAAACTTTTAGTGAAGTGAACATTACTGAGATATATGTTTTTTTAGATTGATGACTTTAGAAGTTTAATTAACAATTTTGATATCTGAAAGTTAAATTTGTTTTTCTCCACTCTCCACTATTAGTGATTCAGAATTTTTTAGAATTTTCATTTGCCTCTTAACTGTATAATGCAAATTAAATTAAATTCTTGTGACATTGTTTAACTAACCTCATTTTATTTGGGAATGATGATAAAACTGAAGTTTTTCATCATTTCCAAATAAAATAAGCATAATAAAATGTAACACACTATATATACAGCAAAATTGTTTCTGACAGTCTCTGTTAAGACTGCTAACAATGAGGAAATGTTTCTGATACATCAGTAGTTTATCAGTAGCTTTTCAATTGAAGTGAATCATTTACATGATTCATTGCAATTGAGGGGCCATTCATTTTTGCATTGTTACCATGTACCGTACATTTCTGTATTGCTTTAATTTTGGACATGTCTAGAAGAGATCTAGTAGATTAACATTTTCAATAACTCAATATGTCAGTCTTGTGTGTTGGTTCAGATGTTTATTGTAATACAAGAAAGAACCATTAATTTGTAATAATTTAAAAAAATTTTTTTTGTAGATGATTTTTCTTTTTGCATTTGTTTATTACTTTAATTCTGAGCAGTTATTAATGAAATCTAAGGAGGTTGCTTTTTTCCTTATTATCGTCTTTATCTCATCCTTTGAATCAGAAATACTTTAATTATTATAATTTGTTTAAATTCAGTACCTTTTTGTTATATTCAGTATATATCTACATTATTTCTGTTACAAGAACTGAACTTTAATATCTTTTTATTTTAACATTCTCAACTGTTTAAAAATTTTATCAATAAATTTAATGTATATGTATATTTGTAATGTATAATTTTGTAATATATGTAAATTTTGATTTTTTAAGTAATATTTTCCAACATTTATTACAGGCATATATGGACCAAGCTCATGAATTAGTTGGGAATGAAAATATTATGTTACAAACTCTAGGTGAGTTGTATTTAAAAATTATTAAAAGAGAAGTTAGAACTTAATTTTAAATTATTTTAAATTTAAAATAATTATAAAATATTGCATATTCTGTAAATATATTACAGATTTAAAAGTAAAATATAGTTAAGTATTAATCAATATAAATGATGGTTATAGCTCTTTCATTCTGCTTTTTGTTTTATTCTACATTAAAGGGTGTCAGAAAGCAATGTAAATATTTGCTGTATAGTAAGAAATTTTTTAAATTCTGACATTAAATTTTTCTTATTTAAATAAAATCATGAAATCTTTTATATGACATAGAAATGACCTAGCTAATTATATTATCAGTTTTATGCAAAGTTTTTTGTAAGTGAATAAAGTGATTTTTTTAATAAAAAAAATTTATATACAGTAGAGCGTCGATTTTCCGAATCAATTGGGGACTGGGATTGTCTGTATAACTGATATTTCGGATAACCGATTTATGTACGAAAAAATAGTTTAACGTATCCGATGTCGAAATTTTTCTCCGTTGCGTGTCGCTTCGCGTTGAATTTTCGTCGATGTTAAGCCTAACGAAGACTATTGTATCGTTAAAAATTATTTTTTTATTTTGTACAAACAAAATAAATATATTGAAAAATATAAAAACAATAAAAAATTACACTTCAGAAGTTAATTTAGTATCAAAAATGTAAAATATTTGAATAGCCAAAGACATAGCCAAAGATTACAGCGCCACAGCACTGGCGAAAATTTAAATTTGTCGACTGGAATTCCTTCGGATAACCGACGNCTTTCAGATAATTGACGTTTCGGATGATTGACTTTCGGAAAATCGACGCTCTACTGTAATTGTATATAAAATGGGCTTGAGTAGATTTGGCCAAATGTTACATAATGGAAAGGGGAAATGCAGAGACTTTAATAAGTCAGGGAATGTCATTATCACAGATAGAATTACCTGTACAGACTCTGAAGTTAGTACAATTTCTATCTTAAAATATTTTTGCAGAAGTATCTGTTCCACATGACTTATTGTAGAATTTATCATTTTTTTAAAAAATTTTTAATAATGCCATTTGTTGTAAGATTATTATTAATATATCAATGACTGTAGTCATTTGATTGAAATTTTTTAAATATATAATTTTGATTTAATTTTATATTTCAGGCTTTGACATTGCAATTGAACATCCACATACGTATGTTGTAAAGTGCTGTCAGTTAGTTAGAGGTAAGAACAGTAACACAATTACTTTTTTCTAGTTTTAATTCCATAATTATATATTTAAATTAGATTTTTAATTAATACATGTAATGGCTTACTGTATTTTATGATTAACATTCTACTTTCACAGTAAAATAAAACAGTTGTTTAAGAATAATAAATTTTTGATTTATTATTATTATTTATTAATTTGATTAAATTGAAAAAAGATTATATTTGGATAATTTTACTGTGTCATTCTAAACATTAAACAATTTAATGTTTTAAAAATTAGCATTAGCTTTATTTAATGAAGTTTTATTTATATGTATAATTTGTGCAAATTATTAATTTATTAGACTATAATCAATTTGCATTAATATGAATTGCTAGGGAAACAGTAGTTAGTTCACTTCATTGAAAATTCATATTAATGATTTCCAGGGTGGGGTCAAGATTGTATAATTTACATCATTGAGGATTAATAGGCAATTGAAATCTCCAAATTATAATATTTTGAAATTTACTAAATAAAGTTAAATAAATTAAATTTATTTAAAAAAATAAATTAATGATCTAAATGATTTTCAAATCAAACATGAGGAGGAAGTATTTGTCGTTAAGGTGTGGATCAAAATGGATAAACAAACCAAAGCTAAAAGAAAACCGTGTCTCTTTTTTGTTGAAGATTGTTTGAAAAAGTAAAAATTTTTCAGCACCAAAAGAGTAAAAAAGTATCCAAATTTGGCAAAAGTAGCCACATCTGACATTATTGTATGCAAACTAGTACATGTTTGCATGGGACCACATCTGTTCAGAGGGATATCCTTGAACTGTAACCCTATTTTCTGAGTACAGTAGAATTGTCTGCTAAAACCAGATATTTAATTTTCTCTATAATTGGAGGTCAAATCCATTTTTTCTTACTAAAAGAAAATTATTCTACTCAAAATAGAAAATTTATTACTTTGCTTTTTACACTTTTTGATGCAAATAATAAAGTCATTATCAGAAATAGTTATTTCTTGGATGATGTGAAGGTAATTTACCGGTCACTTTAATGAATTCTGGTAAAATTTTTGTTTGCTTTCTTGTATGAAAATTAACATTGTGACAGTGTGTTTTGCCAGGGCAATGGCAAAATTCACTTTAACATGAGAATTTGCTTTATGATGATTGTTTTAAGGCAAGTTGACTGTATCAGTTTTGAAATAAAAAGTAAATTCTTGAGAAATAATGAGGGAAAAATTTAACAGTTCAAAATAGTGTTAGATTTAATTGGCTAACAGATAACTATAAAGTCATCTAATGATTAAAATATTCTTAAATCTTAAAAGTATTGAAAAACTGCTGTGAATAAAAAAGTAGACTAGTTGCTTCAAAGAATTATTTTTGATTGTATGAGAAAATCTTATAGATATATTAATCAAAGATTGATAAATATTTACAATGAAAATAGCTAGTTCAAAATTATGTAAAGAAAAATGGATTAGAGGGTCACAGTAGTTGAATGACATAGTTATAAATGAACTTTTGATCAGAAGCTTGAATTTTGTTTTTATCTTAACTGAATGAGGAATGAATTTAAGCATTGAATATAATTAACTAATGTGAAAGAATTATAACAGAACTCAGCATTACATTCAAGAACAGTTTTGCAAAATAGAGTGAAGGAACTCAAGGTTCTATTTGTTTAAATTTAATTATTTTATAAAAATCTATAGTGATTTGTGATATCTGAGAATATTTAGTATGTTTAAAAAGATAAGTGAGCTTTTGATTTAAAAACATGTAGTTTTAAAATTAGTCTTTTAACAAAAAGAGTACAATAGGAAAATTTTAACAAAAAGTTAAATTTAAAAATTTTCAAATGAACTGCTTTTTCTCCTGTCAATCATGTTATTTCAATATATTCTAAAAATAGACTGTATAAAAAGAGGGCTAGGTGTAATGTTTAAATTATGAATAGAGTATATTTGAAAAGTAATTTGTGATTACTTTTTAAATAGCCTCTTAAATTTGTGATCAAATAAGGACATAATATTGATGTGATAAACACTCCAATTTATTACAACCCTGTATTAGGCTAAATAATTCAATCTGAACTAAAATAAGGACATGATAACTAGCAAAATATCATGTTTTTATTTCAGATAAAATCAAATCTCAATAGTACCAATTTTTAATAATAATTCATAATTAGAAATTAGAATAAAATATATTTAACAAGTGAGAGAAAATGTTCTTAAATTTGAATTTTAGCTTTTTGTATAAAATTTAGTTCAGTGATTATATTAGAAATAGAATTGAAATATTTTGCTTATAAATAGTACTTGAATAAATGCAAATAGTAATTCTGTTTTCACTACCAATTTCTATAAATAACTTTGCAAATTATCAGTTACAAGAGAAACTTCAAAAAGTAGGAAGAAAAAAATGTGTTTTGATTAAAGAAGCCATTACAAAAATTAAAACCTGTGCAAGTTTATCTTCTCATTATGATCTATTCATATTGAAATAATAATTTAAAATAAAAGTCTCTGAAATATTATTAGATGAGGATGTCAAAATAAAGAGAAACAGAAAAGTTGTATTTATAAAACTTCTCAAAAATTAGTTTTTAATAGTTTGAATAATGCTGTAATTCAATAATTTTAAGTAAAAAATTGATATGGCAAAAAAGTTTAATTGCACTTACATTTTTATTCTAATACCGTAATTTGGGCTGTTAAGAGTTTGAGCATTTCAACCAGATGGGCTGCTGTTTTAGGATTAACCAACCCTAATGGATCTCTGTATCAGTTAAAACTTTTAAGCATGGTAAATCAAATCAACAAAGTCATACTGGCTGGGACATTGCCCAGTTTAACAAGAACCGTACTGTATTGGTCAGGGAAGCAGGACATAGTGTTAAATATGATACTGTAACACAAATCAGAGTTGGTACCATCAATGTTAGAAGTCTGAATGGAAAGGAAGTGGATCCAGCCAGAGTTAGAAAAGTATAATGTACAGTACAAATGACAGGTATCACTGAAACTAAGAAAATTAAAGTTGGAAAGACAAGCCTAAACAATAAATTTAAGCTAATTTATTCAGAGAATGATGCTCAATGCAAGGACGGTGTAGCCATAGCATTTACATCTGCTATAGAATGGGAAGTACTCGCTACAATTTCCTATTTTAAATTTGCAAATTTTACAATTTCCTATTTTAAATTTGCCCAGATGACACTCTAGCAGAGTCATCTGGGCAAATTTAAAATAGGAAATTGTATAATGAGATTTATCTTTGCCTATGGACCTACTGAAGGCTCAAAGAAGGAAGGTGTAGAAGCAATAGAGACAAATACGAATGAAAAAATAGTTCTATCTAGCGATCTTAATAGTAGTAGGAAATGATGACTACATCTATGGCAGTATTTTAGGTAAGTTTGGTGAGAAAGAAAAGCCTAACATCAATGGCAAAAGACTGAGTTTTGTGCTTGTAGAGAAAAATATGAAGATTTTGGAATTATCAGATCCTATTTTGGTTATAGAAGTGGATAAGGCCATCAAAAACATCAAATGTGGAAAGGCCACAGGGGTAGATAATATCAGATCAGAGATGCTAAAGTATGAGGGAATAACAGTAGTACAGTGGTTACATATTATTCAAAGATGTTGGTCTGAAGGGAAGGTTCCAAAGGATTGGGGGGAAAAGTTTTAATTGCACCAATTCATAAAAAATGAATTAAATAGAATGTAGTAATTATAGAGGAATCTCATTTCTCAGTGTACTAGCTAAAATTTATACCAGCATTTTAGAAAAAAGTTATTTGTATAGTTGAAAGTGAACTAGGAGAAGAACAGACAGGCTTTAGACTAAATAGAGTATGGCAAGATCAAATGTTTATACTAAGGCAATTGACAGAGAAAGCATGGGAAACAAGAAACTATACTTGGGATTTGTTGAGCTGGAGAAGACATTTGATGGAATGCCTACAGGATTACTTTTTGAAGTTCTTAAGAAATATAGCATAAAGATACTCTACTAAGGCGATCTAAAGCTTGTATAGGAATTACAAATCAGCTATAAGGATAGAAGAATAAATAGGCAACTGGTTCAAGTAAAACTAGGAGTGAGACAAAGATGTATATTTTCCTCTTTATTATTCATGATTTTTATGGATAATTTAATAAAATAATCAAAATTATTGACAAACTTCAGTTTGGGAAATATAAAGGTTGGTTCTTTACTCTATATAGATGATATTGTCCTACTAAGCAATAAACCCAAGACCTCCAGCAATCTTTAAATAATTTAGAAGAAAGTTGCAGGAATTTCAGTATGTCAATCAGCTATGAGAAAACAAAGGGTATGGTTATTAGTAGAGAGAAGGAAACTTTATTAACAGTTAAACTTAGTAACAAATGCTTAGAACATGTCAATAAGTTCTCATACTTGAGAACATTCTTTAATGAAGATGGAAAATTAGATTTGGAAATCAGCAATAGATTAAGCAAGGCAAGTCAGGCAGGGATCCAATTGAGCAAATATATCTGGAACAAGAAAGAAATAAGTCATAAGACAAAATTAGCTATGTACAACACAGTTTTTAAACCTATATTGACATATGATTCTGAGAGTTGGATGAGAAATAAGGGAATTGACCAAAAATTAGAAGCAACAGAAATGAGAGTATTCAGAAAAATTAGTGGTGTTAATAGATACAGTGGCAGAAATGAAGACATAAGAATAAACCATAAGGTAACTAATATTCAGTTGAGAGTAAGCAAGACTAATCTGAGGTTGTTTGGCCATTTGGAAAGAATAGAAGACTGACTGGCTAAACAGCTATTTGAAGGTAAAATCAAAGAGATGACCTAGAGAAAGGTGGACTGAGTGTTAAGCATGCTTTAGAGTAAAGGGACTTAACATTTATACTCCAGGCTAAAAACTTTACTGTCGATAGGAGTTTGGAGAAAAGTAGTTGATGGCAGTAAAAATGATTTTTTACCATGTTGACCTGTACACACTGAGTATCAACAGGAAAGGATGATGATAGTTTAATGTTAAGCATTAAGATAATCTATACAAGAATCTTTCTGTATTATACAGGGTCTAACAGGAAAACTGACAATTATAGATGTTGAATATTTATTGAGAGATTTTAAGAACATCTTATATTAGAACTTAACATTAAAACTGTTTTTGACTAAGATGGCTCAAAACTGCCAAAAACATGTTTAATATGAAGATTAAAATTGGAACCTTAAAAAGCAACATGGTCAATATTTATTTAAAAGTTAATAACATATAGTTTTTAATTGCCCATTTATTTGTTGACTCTGTAAAAGTTTAATTTCAAAGAATTTTAGATTTTTTTTTTAGCATTATGATTTCAGTGATTATAAAGTCAGATCTGTCTAAAGCTACAATTTTGAAATTGAAATTTGAAGTGTGAGTTTAAAAGTGACTTAGTGGCTAAAAATATACATACTAAGACCATTCTTATGGTTTTAAAACCAAAATTAATATGTATAATAATGATTGCTGACATCTAGTGTAACTTTCTAAAACATTGTACAGTATAGGCAAGACTAGCAATGATTGATTTCAAGCTTTAAAGAGATGCAATTTGCAGCTTCATTTGGTTTTTATATAAAGCTGACATTGGAACTGGTCATTGAGTGAGTTAAGATAGGGTTTGACTTTATAGAGAGTAACTTTTAGACAGATCTGACTATAAAATTTAAGTAAAAATTGTAATTTTAGTATTTAGCATTAATGATGACATTATTTAAAATAATGATAAATAATAAGAATTGCAATGTATAAAACATCAACTGATGTGTTAAAATACTTTACTTTTAATATAAGTTTGAGATAAAGTTCATTTTAATTTATACAGGGTTCCTACACACATGGAAAGTTGGGAATTTTCATTAGTATTCATAAAAAATTATGGAATGTCGGGGAATTTGTTAAAAATTGTTGAAAAGTCAGGGAATTTGCTTCCTTAGCTTCCTTGTTGATTTTTTGCTGACAGTATGCTTAACTAAGTGTAGTCATCTGCAAGCAGCAAGAATTAATGTGGTGTAATACAACTTATGAAAAGGAGTGCAGAATATTTTCAGGACCAAAATTTCTCCCAAGTTCACACAAAATTTTTCCAAAAATTTACAAAGTACACAAAATGATAGTTTAAATCGGGTGACCAACCTTTTTAGCAGGTGGACCAAATTTCAGAAATATTTCCTGCCATGCCACGCACCTAATTATTTTTTGTTAATTAAAGTAAACAAGCAAGCGTGTTACAGCTTCAACCACATCATTGCTTTCCAGTAGGTGAGATCGTGGTTAAACACTTGCCTGGTTTAATGTAAAAAAAACAAAAAATAGGTATATTTATTTTTTTGAAGAAAATAAAACATAACCGAGAATCATTTATTTAATAACCGAGAAACATATTTATTAGACAATTTTAAAATATTTAAAAGTGAGACATCTGACTTTGTTTTACAAAACTAACAAGTAAGTGCATCAAAATTGATCTCGACTGATGTTGTCGCTACATGCAAACAGTTTTCCAAATGAATATCAGTAATTTGTGTTCTCACTTGTGATTTGATGTACTTCATGCGACTAAAAAGTTGTTCACACGCGTAAGTTTTTCCAAATAGTGAAACCATTGATAGAGCATGTTTGTAAAATGCAGGATATTTATTTTTGTCCAAATACGTTTTGTAGAATTCTTCCAAACCTTCTTAACTCTTCTAATGTTCATTTGGTGATATGTACATAAAGTTAACATTTATGTTCATTTGACCTAGCTTCGTGGGCCTCATGTTGGCCACCCCTGGTTTAAATGGTATTATTTATCATTTTTCAATTTAATAATTTTGATTGCATAACAAAATTTCTGATTTTTTTTCCCCAGTTTATTGATATTTTATAGAGTTCAGGAAATTTATTAAAGGGGATCATTTTTTTTAATTAATTAGTCAAAATTTATTAGTAGAAGGCAAATGCCTGTTACAATGGGAGTTCTACTCCTTGTCTTTATACTCAGTACAGTTACAAAAAACATTTAAACATCAAAAAACTTCTTAACATAATTATATAAATTGAAAACATTAAGATTGGATACAACAAGAAGTTTAAGATTTAATTTACAGAGTTTAAATAGAGAAGTCTTAGATAGATTTCAAGAATACTAAATCAAGAAAATAAGCTAAGTCTGCTGGTTAATTTTGAAAATTTTATTGGGCTTCTAAATACGTACTGTGCTAAAGTTGGTACGATAATAGTTGCTATTATCTTAAGAAGAAAAAACAGCAGAGTTTGAGGCAGTTTAGAAAATCTAATAAGGAAATTGACTGGAAGAGATATATTAACAACAAAAGAATTTATAATCAGTTGATTAAAGCTAAAAGAAGAAGATATTATGCAAACTTAAATAAATATATAATTGAAACTAAAGATTCCAAAAAATTTTGGGAAGTGATCAATAGTTTTCGACAACCTGTTGATCATTGGAAAAGGTCCGTTAATATACCAATAGATGAATGGAATAAATTTTTTGATAATTTTTCGACTAGATATAAGGAGAAATTGGCTAACACTAGAGTGGAAAAACTGAAAGAATCTGGGTTGGCACCAATAGAAGAGATCTTTAATATTCAAGAACTTCAATTATGTATCAAGAGGCTCAAAAATAAATTGGCCCCGGGATATGATGGGTTTCCTAATAAAATACTAAAACTTTTTCCCATGACAATTTTAAAATATATTATCAGGCAGTATAATAGATTTTATGTAACAGGTGTAATTCCTAAGTCGTGGAACCAAGTGATATTTCAAATGGTGTACAAGAAAGGAGACAGGGCCAGTCCAACAAATTTTTGCCCGATAGCTTCACTTTCGACATTTCACAAACTGTTTACTGCTATGATAGCGAAAAGATTTATTGAATGGATTAAAGGGAATTCTTGGCTGGAAAGAGATTCCACTCAAATGATGAAGTCATCTCTGAAGTGAACGAGTATTTTGCACACCTTGACAAATTGACCTATTGTGATGGCATAAAAAAGCTAGAACATTGCTGGAATAAGTGCATTGCTAACAGAGGAGACTACATTGAAAAATAAAAAAAGTTTTAACATTATCTTGTTTGTTGTTCTATTTGAGGCCGCGAACTTTCCGAACAGCCCTCTTACATCTGTTAATTAGAAAAAATAATTAATTAAAATGTTGGAGAAGCAAAACATATGTGCATAGTAAGTCAAATGCTGTTTTATTTTTGTCAATGTGCCATACTGTAATAGACATGAGGGTCAGGGAATTTGTGCAAAGTTGTTCAGGGAAAGTCATGGAAATTAAAACAAAAATTTGAGTAGGAACCCTGTTTATATATTTATAATTTTGTAAATTATTTTTTTGATATTTATTTATTTTTTCATTTTTCAGCAAGCAAAGATCTTGCACAAACATCATATATAATGGCCACAAACAGGTAACTACAGGAAAATTTTAAATGAATAAATAAAACACTAATAGCCTGATTGGAACATTTTATTTATAATAGTTAGTTTAGTAACAGAAACATTTAATGAACAGTCTAAAATCTGATTAGAGATATTTATTCATTAAATGTTTTTATTATTAATCTAAATATTTAATGTTAATTTACTTTATTAAATAATTTTAAGATGATAATGTTATCACATTATATGATTAGTTAAATACTAAAATATCAAATTTTAATAAAAAATGGAAATAGTAATTAATAAAACAATTTACTTAGGTTGCATGTTCTTAATAATTAATGATGTGCAACTGGCTAAAATCAGCCATAGTGTCATTACTGTTTAATCAGTGTCCCTTTATTTAAATATTAGTAATTTACTTTATTGTTTCCAATGTAAAACCTAATGATATATGAATATTTTTAAAAGATTTAAACCATATTAAATAATAAAATATCATCATCTTGTAGCCATACATATCACCTTATTGAGTTGCATCAATCTTAGGTAATTAATTCCAGGTAGCAATGAGATGCATTCCACTGGGAAGCAGATTTTGTAAGTTGAGGCTAGGAAGCAGTCTATAGATTGTCACTGTTTTAAAAAATCTGCTTTCCTGTGGAATGCATCTCATTGCTACCTAGAACAAGATCAATAAAATATCACATTACTAAATAATAATACACTCGACCCCCATATAACACTGTTGATAATTCCGTTTTATATGAATTCCGTTTTGTACGAGCCACTTAGATTTTACAAATACATGAGCCAGGCTGTGAATGGCTCACGTATTCATGTAAAATCTAAGTGACTCGTGCAACATGGAATTCATATAAAATGGAATTATCAACAGTGTTATAGGGGGTCAACTGTATATCATATAAATAAGTTAAATTTTTCAAGAATTTTTAGGAAACTGGCTTGGAATTTTTCTTAAGAAATGAAAATATTGAGAAAGCAAAAACATTAATACTTCTGATGGTTATTATATAATTCCCATTATTTATATTGCTCTAAAGCAGTGTTCTTCAATCTTCTCACACCTGCAGACTGGCAGAAGGCCAAAGATAAATTTTCTTAGACTTGCTTAGATGCTGGTAATGCATGCGACTGTCATAGCTTCGTTTAAACAATTGCAATAATAAAAAAATAAATAACCGTTTATATTAATTACAAGTTGAAAATATTACTTTGTTGTTTCAAAATATCCTGCCAGTCTACAAAATTTTTTGTGGGCTCAAGGTTGAAGAACACTGCTCTAAAGGTCAATACTGAGCAATATCATAGTGCTCAATATTGTTCACAAACATAGGAAAAATAATAGCTATTTACAAAATATTGGTCAATATGATAACTTTAAATTTTTGATTTATAAATCTTTTTATTCTCTGATTATACCATGGTTTTGTCATTTGATTCAAATGAACTAGTATTTAGAAATTGATGCAAAAGAAATAAGAAAAAAAAATTATTCATATTCTTGATGTTTATATTTGTAAAAAGAAACAATTACAAATTATTAATTAAACTGTTTCAATATTTATAGTTTGCATCTGACTACAATGTCTTTACAATATAAACCAACTGTTGTAGCTTGTGTATGCATTCATCTGGCATGTAAATGGTCTAGTTGGGAGGTAAGTACAGTATTATATATTTAAATTTGTGTGAAAAATTTTAATGACTATTAAAATGTAATGTATAAATCTATAAAATTTTTATATATATTTGAAGTAACATTTAGATTTATAACATTTAAGCCTTGCATTGTGTGGTACAAGGCTTCAAATTTCTGGTTGGCAGGTTACTATTGGTGATTGTAAAAGATTGCTAAAATCTTTTTCCACTATCAATTTGGATTTTTTTTTCTGTAGAAAAAAATGACAAAATGTGTTTGTTGCAATGGGACTATCATGCAACTATTGCAGAAAGGAATTGATCCATAACTGTAATTTACTTAGAAATTTTTAATTTGTGGCCAGATTGGAAAGTTTTGTTCTGATTTTGCTTTGTTTAAAAAAATTCCTAAAATACCTATTCAGTCTGCTCCGGTTGCTAGCTGGAGTATATCATAACAGATTGTTTGATCAATTAGTTAAGCTTAATTCAAATATGAACTGAACTCTGCATTTTAGACAAGTTTCAACAGAAAATTACTGTTATTTTTTATATATATTTTGTTCAGTTTACATTCAAAATAATGTATTTTTCAATTAACTGATGAACAGTTTTAAATATTTCAACAGTTTCACATATATTAAGTATCTTTAAAAATTAAATTACTGGTAGATGACTGATTATCTGACATCATTCATTGAAAGTTCTTTAAACAAGATTTAATTTTTTAAATTATTGTTATTATTTTAGTTTTAGGCATAATGTTAAGCCTGACAATGTATCAATCTTATCAATATTTTTTCTGCAATCATGGATGTAGTTATCAAAAATGTAACAGTGGAACAATGGTCTCAAGATTGAAGTAAATACATCTGCTTAGCTTGAAATGACAGTATTTTTAATAGATTATGATGCTTGTATTTTTTATATGTATTTTATTCCCTTTATATTAGTCATAAATAGCTTCCAGTGTCAGTTTGATTAATGATTATAGTTAAAATAGGTCTATGATAGTTGAAATAAGTTTGCACATCTTAAGGTATCAATATTTTTCCCAAACACCTTATCACTGGAAGATTGTGATCTGGTAGTGCCAAGTTTTGAATTGGACATCAATTTTAAGTGAAACATGTTTTTTGTAAAAGTTATAAAGCTTTGTTTCTTTCCCCCTTTAAGCGTGTGTTAAAGTCCCCTGCTAAAATTATGGGAATAGCATCAAGACCTTCTTATACTACAATTTTTATTTTATGTTTTTGGAAAAGTCTTGTGGCAATAGATTTCCTCCCCTAACATTAAAATATTTTATCTTCTGAGAAAGTGTGGATTTGGGAACATTAACATCAGGCCTTTGTGCTGTTTCACCTAATAATAATCCTGTTATTTCCCAGATAATTTCTGATTTTTGCTTTCTTGTCAACTATTATGTTCAATAACACGTGTAACAGGTAAGGATAAGCTTGTTATCACAAGTGCAAACTGATTCATCTATTATTCAAAATGAATATTGGTTGGGATACTCTTTTCTTATTTTAAACTGACTAATCCATTCTAATTAAAATCAAAAACTTCCCATTTTGATAAGATTTACCATTTAATTTATAAAATTTCTTTTAAATTACTTTTAAAATAGATGCATGATTGCATTTTATATCAATGTTATGATAAATGTAATATTTGCATACTTATTGTATTTGAAAGAAACTGCATAGTAAAGTTTAAATTTGTAAAAATAAAAGTTGCCAACAGAATTCTTGGCATCCAAGATATTTGGTGAATTTTCAAACTTGTGGTATATATTAGCTTATTCAAACCTCATCTACCAATCAATATATTGGATGAAAAATAAGAGGAACATGTGCTTTTTTTGTTGGAATTTCATTGTGTATATATCCAGCTTTAAAATGATGATTGTTTTCAATAACTGACTTCATGTTGTTTCTCTTATTTTTAAAAATACTTCTAGCAGTTTTTTATGTTACAAATATATAAGATAAATGATCACTCTGTGCTTTTAATTAGCAGTTAATGTGTTGTTGATAAAAGCAGGTACACTAGTATTGTTGGAAAAATTGATTAGCCAAGTCTTACAACACTGATACTATTGTGTAGGAATGAGAATCTGTCTGAGGCATTTCAGGCTGTTTCAGTTTCAAATCTAGCTAGCATTTGATTAAATTTTATTATTATTGCTTTTCTATTAAAATATTTGGTAATATTGCATTTATTAATGATTAACCAACATTGCTTTAATCAAGTTATATACAATGCTTATAATATAAAGTGTGAAATAATATATTTTAAAGTTACATCTTTAAAATATTTCTTATAATATGAATCTTAATTCAGTTTGAATAGTAAATGTGAATCATTTTTATAGCTTCCTTGTTCTAATGAAGGGAAGGAATGGTTCTGGTATGTTGACAAATCAGTCACTCTTGAACTTCTTGAAGGTAAGAATTGAAAATTATATTTATAATATAATTTAGCAGTGTTAAGAGTGCAAATTTTGATAGAACATAAATTATAAATACATCATATGATTTCAAATGTTATATAATTTTAACATAACATTTAAATTGAATTTTTGATATGAATTGATCAATTTTCAGTAATTGATTAATGTTATTAGTAATGTTAAGAATTTTAGGTAAATCAAAAGAAATATCAGTGACATGTTGAATTGCATACTTAGTACATTTGACTTTGTGAATTTATGCTTTTATTATTATTATTATTATTATTATTATTATTATTATGTGATTAAAAGGATATGTTATATAGTAATTGGTTCTTAATGTTGTGCTTTGGATGGCCGGGTGGTTGAGTTGTCAAAGAGGCAGCCTACCACTGTGGGACCTGGGATCGAATCTGGACGGGTCAAAAAAGCCCTGGGAATTTTTTCAGGTGGTGGTCCATCCAGATACGTCTGGCCCTGTCCCTCGCCATCCAGCTGCCTCGTTGTGGTGCCAAACCCATAATGGGCTTGCTAAAGAGGTCCTCTTAGTGTCCATAGGACAGAAAGAGTTTAAAAAAGAAAAATCTTTTTCTCTGTCCTTACTCTTACAAATTTCTGTGTGTATCCTGTCTACTTGGACTTTGTTTATTAATAGGATTATTATACTAAGTCCTATTAATAGACAGGATTACACAGAGGGAAAAAAATAGTGCTTTGAATATGCATTCTTAGCACATAATTATTGTTTGAGTAAGCCGTATCTACAGTTCTCTATGGTATCAAGATAAGTATTTTAGAATGACTTTCTGGAAAATGAAAGATATATTCTGAAAATGGAGACTGACAACTGTTTGTAATATTCAGAAGAAATTTATCCGAAAATTATATAGGTAAGTGTTTGTTTTTTTAATTAAATTATAGTAAAATAAAAATCAAATATTTTAAAAGAATTGTGTAGTTTTAGATTGTAAAAACTATTCTCTTCTACATTCTGCTGTTCTAATTTTATGTCTTAATTTATGCTCAAAATCAGTTAGGTCATTTTATAATTTTTAAGTAGAAGGTAATTTGCTTAAAATGCAAATAATAATACAGTAGAATCTACTTATTATAAACACTGACTCTTCTATACCAATGATAACTGAGTGATTATGTTAAGCAGGTAGGGTTGCTAACTTTCTTACTCTCTTGTACAAAAAAAAAAGAGGAGGAGGACCTTATACAATGTTAGATATTTATAACAAAATAGTTTGTTGTAAATATTTGTTGACTACCTATAATAATAATAACAACAAATGAAATATGCAACAAGTGAAGAATTTTTCAAGGAGATTCCTTGAGTTTCCTTTGGTTTTGTCTTGTGCTTAACCTTTTATCTAACACATTGAACAAAATACAATATGGCTACAATATCAGACACAACAAAACATCACTATTTACCTCATGGACATGGATGATATCAAAATTAATGCATCCACACATAATCAGCTTTGTCATCTCTTACAAACTACATACACATACTCAAACTCAATATAGAAATGGAGTTTGTCTAGACAAATGCAAAATATTACACATTGAAAAAAGAGTTTTGAAGAAAGAAGACTTTGTACTCAGAAGTGGAGAAATTATTGAGTTTATGGAGAGGGTGAGTTTTACAAATATTTAGGATTCCAACAGACCAAACTTACAGAACCTGCACAGATAAAACAAAGGTTAATACTCAAATACCAGAACAGATTACATGCAGTTCTAAACACAAACACAAATGCAAAACATACTATTCAGATTATTAATATCTATGTTGTCCCTGTACTCACTCATTCTTTTGGAGTTATACACTGGATCTGCACAGATCTTGAACAACTCCAAAGGAAAACAAGAACAACACTTACTAAGCATAAATAATATCACCCAAAATCATCTGTACAAAAGACTAACTCTTTCTCGTAAAGAAGAGGGCCATGGCCTTACTTAACTTGCACTACAAATTCAGATGTTGCAGGAGTTTTTCCACAAAAAAAACAAGAAACAAGATTACTTAAAACTACAACTCTGGCAGATGGTAACCATACACCTTTAAACTTACACTCTGAGCACCTAGACATAGCTCGACACATAATAAATGTACAAACCATTGGGCCCATGACTGTTTAGTCATGGTCCCCAAAGGCACTTCATGGCAGGCATGCTTAAGAACTAGCTCAGCTATGAACTAGTTTGACAAAACTGCATCAAACTACTGGCTGAGTAGTTGGAGAGACTGAGGGTTTTATGGTTGCCATTCAAGATCAGGTCATAAACACTAAAAACTACTGAAAAAAAAAAACACATCATTCACAAATGACTTGCAGAAAATGCCACATCTAGTCAGAAATAATACATCATCTAACTTCTGATTGCAAGCTCTTAGCACAAACTGACTACTTACTTAGACGTAATCAAGTAACAAATATAATACACCAAGAGCTTGCACAGAAGCACAGGTTATTAAACATCCAGGTACCATACTACAAGTATACTCCACAGGCAGTATTAGAAAATGACACAAAATTTACTGCAACAGAATCACAGATAAAACAATTCATTGCATCTGATGTGACATCACTCTCATTAACAAATGCAGTAAGAATGCTTATATAATAGACATCTCTGTTCCAAACACTCATAATGCAAAAATTGCTCAGTGATAAAAAAATCAAGTACATTCCACTCGCTCAAGAAATAAGAAATGTGGAGGATGGATAAAGTATTTATTGTACCTGTTGTCCTCTCTTCTACTGGTGTTATACCACATACACTACACAAAAGACTAGAAACATTAAACCTTAATAAAACATATACATGGCACTACAGAAAGCTGCAATATTAAACACACATCACATTGTTAGGAAATTTCTAGATGTTGACAAATATACCAATAACACAGCTTAATGTTACACTTGCTTGGGTAGCTATACTTTGACTTTAGTCTGACAGAACCTGACACCAGTATTAGAATTATTACCAATAGTTGCACAATGCCACCTTGAGTCCTTAAATTTTATTTGCTTGTCTGACTCTAATTAATAGTCCCTCTCTTTCCATTACTCTAGCTAAGTTATAAAGACAAAATTATTACTTTCGAATAAACAAATAAAATATTGGAATGTTGTCTGCCAATAATTTAGAGATGATATAAACAAAAACAGTTAAAACTGTACTCTAAAGGGGAATCTTATTGATAAAAAGAGAATAGGAGGGAAATACAGCTAAAAGGAGGATAGTTGGAAAGCCTATAAGCAGGTTAAGTAATTAAGATTACAATTAGTGGAAATTCTGATTTTTTTTTTAAATTAAAAAAAAAATTTTTTTTTGTTAAAATGACATGTTAAACTAATTGTAGATTGATTGATTAATAGTAATTCAGACAACATATAATTGAAGTAAGAAATTCATCATTTTAAACTACACATGTTATAAATAAAGCTGATGATGTGAAAAAAATAGTTTAAAAATGCCTATTAATCTGAATATAATAAGTATTACCAAACCAAACTTTACAAGTGAAACTTGTATTTTAACTTACATGATTTGCGGAATGTTAATTCTGATAACATTAAATGGCTGATGATATCTGTGGTTACATTAAGCACAGTCTACTATATTTATTACATTTACAAGGAAAAATGCTTTGTTTTTAAGTAATGAAAACCTGATTATTTTCTAATTGCTAGCTAGATGATGATCATAATTTTTAAAAAATTAACCTTAAATTTTATTTAGTAATTAAATTTATTGATTTGTCATTAATAAGTCCAAATTTTACAGATTAATTAAATTATTAACAATATTTTTAATTCGTTTAATTTCAGGCTAAAGATGAATGGATGTCTCTCAGTTTGAAATATAAAAGCCTGATTATATAAAATGTTTTCACTTCTTGAATTATTTTAAAGAAAGATACTATAATAATGTCTTAACAGAATGGAGAAAATGTGATTTTGATAAAAATCTGTTACTTGTATTTCAAGAAATATGTAAGCCTCGTGTCAATCAGTTGATAAAGCAAGAAATTATTCATAAGCCAAGAAGACAATGTATTTTCATCAGAAGTCACTGGCAGTTATACAAAAGTAATTATTGTAACTTGTAAATTGAAGCTAAAGACTTTTAAATTGAGTCCAAAGATTCTCAGCATTATGTAACTTTATTTGGACACAAATTTGCAAGAACTTTCAACAGTGCATAACCACCATCTTCAAGCAGGAGATTCAAAAGTACAACATGGGTTTTCAATCTTTACAAGAAATTTGAAAAAGGAACATAGTTTTCTACATTAAAATTCTTTAAAAAAAAGTATTTTAAAATAAAATACAAAGCATTGGACAGAATACAAAAATAACATTAACCAAGCATAATGGATCTATTTATTATTTCTAATTCCAAATTTACTTTTAATTTCTAAGTAGCTTAAAAATGATTTAGTAATAAAAACTCTGATGTTTTAGGGTTTGGTTTTTATAATGTTCCATTTTTTGCTTTCAAAGACTTTTCATATTTTCAAACAAAAAATAGAGGTGGGTCAATTTTATAATACTAAATTTGATATTTAATGTATGAATGTAAATCTAAATAAATTTTTAAAGTACTGTATTTCAAGTACGTATAAATTAAGTTTTAACATTTTAATGTATTAGAAGATACTTGGAGTTTTATTCTGGCTAATTTTTTTCTCGTCTTTTAAAGAAATACTTTCCAGTCTTAAAAATTTTCAGTAATTCTGTGAACTCTCAAATTTAAGTAGTAGAGTTTAGAATAAGTTGTTTGTGTGTGTGTGAATGAGAGATGTGTTGTTGCTTAAATAACTCTGTATTTGACAAAGGTATAATGTACAAAATTCAGAATGAATATCTGTTAGCAGCTCTTTCAATCCTTAGTTATTTAATTATGAACTGTAGAATTAGTCTCTATAATTCAATTAAATTTATTTATTTATTTGTGTGTGTGTTTAGAATG